CTTTTATTTTCCCTTTCCCCTTTAGTAGTTTCTCGAATTCAGTTCCTTGGAGGATAATTGGTAGTGGCAACCTGCTAACAATTATGGATAGGTTAGGAGGGTATTCACCCGAAACTTCTCTGGAGCAAAATATTGTCTCCAAGGTCACACTTAGAGGCTTAAGCTCTTTTGAGAATTGAAAGCTGTTGACGAGTGAGTCAGTATGAAATTTAGTTTAGCCATGATATAATTGCCCAATGTATCGAAATCGGTTTTCTTAAAGATTAAATAAACACATCATGCTGGCCTGACTGCGGGTTATATTAAAAAAAAAAAAACAATTAATTTTAGATAAAATTATATGTATTTTGTTTTCTTTAAGATATTTAACTAATTTATCCATTATAATTTTGATAAAAAAAATTTTTTTATATGTAATAAAATAATAATATATGTAGTATCTAAGTTGTATTTCTAGTTTTTAAATTTGAAGATTGAATAAATAATTATTTTACTTTATTCTTTAATTGTTACATTATATCTAAAGATTTAATTCAATATTATTCTAATTTCTTGCAAAGCTTTATTTTCTAATTTTTTGTAGGTTATATAAGTTGATGTTAATTTGAAACTTTATTCTTTGTTTTAAACTTCTCGATAATAAAAAATATTATAGTATAATTATTTTAACAATACATTTTTTATCTATTGTTATTCTTGAGAAGATATACAGTATAGCTTGTAATTCTAAAAAATATCGATATATAAAATTTTACCCCTTTACACTTGCATCACACCTAATTATATTTAGTTATAAAGAAATTGAGGCTAAGTATGAGGCTTTGACCTTTTTTCTGAATGCATAGAACTTTATCTCTTTTTGATATCCAGATTCGTGAAAATCCAAAAATATATTAGGTTAAGTATTCGTGTCATGTCAATCTAACTGAGGATCAACCACAAAGAGTGATTTTTCACATTATCGTCCCTTAAAATAACACTACAATATGTAGGATTACTGTTTAGAAAAATTATTTTCCCAAATTTCTTGCGTGATTTATTATGCAAGTAAATTGGCTAGAGATTTAAAGAGACATTTATATCTAGTTTTTCCATATTTGACACGACCTCACACACATCTTTTTCTTTAATTCAACCGCAATAAAGTATTATAATATCGCAGGCCGATCCCGCGAAAACGCTTTTTAAAAATAGGGTTATGCTTTATTTTGAATTATTCTCATAAGGATTAATGAGTTCATGGGGCTTTTCTTTGATGAAATTTAAAATATTATATTGTTTAAAAAATTTGAATTTAATCCTTTTTTTAATTTAATATTCACAATAGAAGTTTCATAAACATGAGAAAGAGATTGATTTATATGACGGCAAAAAGCGCAAAAAGCGTGATGCTTAAAAATAGACGCGTACTAAAAATAATATTCGGCTATTCTTTATGTATGTAAAATAGTAGTTCTAACATATTTAATGTTAACAAACACGTAAATTCGCGATCGGGTTATTAAGGTGATTTTCTATCTTCTGATTAAAGAATACGGTATATTTATTACCCAGATACTCGCAACTTTTCTATATAACATCGAAAAATAATTCGCCAACATCAAGTTCTCTTTCATTACAAAATGTACAGATTATTTGAGTTATCCGTGCTATTGTTAGCACTCTTTGTTATTACATCTAATAGTATAAGTATACAATATTCACGTGATCATAAATACGGAAAAAATATCACCGCAACATTAGAAGATGGTTCCGTTTTCTGTTCATTTCTTCCACCAAATTATGGTGGTGACATTAGTGGTAGCGAAAATGATGCTATCGCGTTTTGTAATAAGCCTAGTCCAAATGCGCCTGGTGCTAGAATTTTTCCCGACGGATTTATTAAATCTTATCACTTCGCCACTGGAGATGGTTACATCCAGGTCACTGGCACTATTCATAGAGATGTATACGGTTTAAAGAAAAGTGATGAGGGTGGTCAGTATGATAGTGTAGGTGCTCCTCCTGGCGCAATCTGCGCTAATTATGATAAATTTGTGAACTTGGTCGAACCTGATATTGAATTATTCTGTATTCGCTGTTGTACTGACACTTCAAAGTGCGATACCGGTTATAGCGAAAATGGATGTGAATCTATTATTCCTGGTGATTACAGTTAAATTTTAATATTATTTATTCAATATATCGGTGGGTTTTCTCTTGTAAGCCAATATATTTTTAATTTATGTGTAAAAACATATCATTACTTTCAAGAATTCATCATTTACTTTTTCTTCCGGTTGATCAATTCTAACCTGGATCGATTCTCTCTAATGTCATTAAATAAAAAATGATATTGTTCATGCTTTATTTGATAAAGAAAACAACAGTTATCTTTGATTAGTTTAATTGATTACTTATTGAATAGTAAAAAATTATATAGTGTTTCTGTATTCTAGAAATTTCGTCATCACGAAAGGCAATTTTCGTCACTTGAATACTCTCCGCTGCCCACTAGAATATAAACAAAATTAAGAAATACACTACAGGAATGTGAAAAGAGGAAATTGCTTCATTGATTTATTCTTGCTCGGCTGTCTTCTCGGAACTATAAATAATGAAAAATCAGTTAATATTCACGTTCTCGTCTAATTAGAAATTAAACATACTGCGATTTTAGTTCATGTTATTCTGCATTTGAAGAAAAATATTTTAGAACTTAATATTATTGATTGCGTTTATTAAGAAATCATTACCGAATATTTGGAGGTAATTATCAGAATATGCTATATAATACTGTAGTTTCCTATAATTTATTATTCTCGTATATGCATATACTGTATATTCAATAATAGATATTTATTTCGTTTATTTTTTCTTGTTCTGGTTGTTTTACTTTTTTTTTGTCTAATTAAAAAACGAAATAATGAAAAACCAATTATTTATCAAGTTTTACAATTAATTCAATGGTTGATCCTTTTACACATTCCTTTGATGATACTTCTTTTATATCTGTAGATTTGACTTTATTAGTTAGATCATTTGATAATAAAAAAGAACGCATAAAAATATATGTGGAAACAATATGAAAAAATAATAAAATTGAATTGTAGATATAGATAACTTCTCTTAAATAAAGATAGGTCCCTAAAGGATAAGACAAGAACAACATTCAAATTTTCATGAAAAAAAATCAATAATTTAAATTAAAAACTATAAAAAAACTACTTACAATAGTTTTTCATCAAAATTATTTAATTATAGCATTTCGGGATTTTGTTTCTATTAAAGTAAAAAATTAAAATTTTGTTTCTCAAAATAAAACAAGTGATTCATAAAATTTTATATATTAAATACTCAAGAATCTTTTATTAATATACCTTCCTTAGAATTAAAATAAATATGTATTTAAAAAAGATAGATATATAGTATATTAGAGAATAAGTATTTTACACTGGAATCAACTTATCAGAATCAACAAGACAGCAATCCAAGGACCTATCCCAATGTGGTTCTTTGAAATAAAAAATATATTGAATTAGTAGTTTGATGCAACAATATAGCTAGCAGGTTTTTTTACACAAAATCATATATGCAACTCAGAACAATCTTCACTTTTCAAATATCTAATCTATAATATTAATCAATTCAATAGCAATGAAGCTAACTGCAATTTTGAAACAATGAAACAAACAACAATAGAAATTCTGATCTATGTAGTAGAATTTCATTATAGCAATATCCAATAAACAAAGAGTTAAACTTCAAAAGTTAGATATTATCAAACTCTTTCTCATTAAATCTGACAGCATTAATATATCCATTACGCATAGAAAAAGATCAGAATATAGAAACTACAAGTCTCACAAAAAAATCTTTTTAGAATCAAATATATAATCTCTATAAAGCAGACAAACCAATTATCAAGGAGCTCTCCCAAATCAACAAAAAGCTTCAAAACTATATACACTTTAAATCTATATAGATAGTTCTATAAGCTAATATAATAAACAGTACTATATAGAAATAGGATGGATAGTAATAAATAATTACAACAAATATCTTAATTTTTAAAAACAAGTTAAAATTTTTTTTTCCTTAATCAGAGTTAAACTAATAGTCATTCTTATAGCAATCAGTATACTCCCTTAATATAGTAAAGTACAGATATATACAGACAATATGGTAGCTATCAAAAGCATTTAAGAAATTAATAAGTTTACCATTATACAATATTATAGAAAATAAAAAAACTTAATATCTTACAATTAATCAAAGAAATTCACAAACACAGAAACATCAGATTGTAATTAATTAAAGTATAAGCATATTTGAAAGATATACAAAATAATCTTACAGATTAACTAACAGAAATTGATCAACAGTAAGAAATAAAATCTAATACAAAAAACATTATACTCAAAACTAAAAATTTAAAAGAGATACATTTTTCTATAAAATAGAATAAACAAGACTTGAAAGTATCAATCAAGGAAACAATAAAGAAAATTACAAAAGCAATCTACTTTGCCAAGTAAAAGCTCTTAAATAGAATTAAAAACAACTTTAATAATTATTTAATTTAAAAAATCCATTGGCCTACTACTTTCAAATACTTTGGATTATCAAAATAAATAAATACACAACAATCAACAACAAAGAAAATTTCTTTAAAGAATAAAATAAAAAACTTTCCTTGAAAATCAAGTTATATTATAAAGTACTTTCAATTTATAAAGATAACTTGTGTAATAGATATGAAGAAAAAGAGATAAATATATATTCATTTATCTGCATAACACACAAGGCAATAACAAAACAATACATAATCAATACTATTATTACAAATATTACAAAATACTGGATTAAAAATAATATTATATAATGGATAAGCAAACTGAAGAAAAAAATATTACTGTATTATAAGAGATATTTGAAGTGCACAATTAAAGGAGCCTTTTCAAAAATATAATACAAACCATTCAAGAAACAATCCTAGAAAAACAACTCAGACACGACTACTATTTAGATATTAAAAGAGATATCACCAACCATCTATAAAAACTATAGAAAAAAAGATGTGAAGACTTTCAACTTTGAAAAGTATAATAGAGTATTACTAAAAAGATGGAAAAAAATGCAAATATCATAAATATAAAACAGAGCTATAATTCAAAAAAAAAGAAATTCACATCAAGAAACAATTCATATAGCTAATAAATAATATATAAACAAAACTATTCAAAATATAGTAATATCTTATATCATTTTAGAATTTTTGTATAGTACTAGCCTAGCATTAACAGATTAGTATTTTCTAAAATAAGATGGCAACAAGTCACAAGATAAATGCAATCAAGAGACTACTTCGTTATTAAACTATATTTGATAAGTATAGATAATTATAGTATTCTATATACTATACATATCTATTATATTTCAAATAAAGTAAGATTGAATTGACATTTTTTAAAAAAAAATTAGAAAATAGTATATTATATAATTATATTAAATTAATTTTATTCAAAAATTTAATTTAATTTAATTTTATTTAATTTAATCATTTTTTTTTATAAAAAAATAAAAATATAGTTTAATAAGAATATTAAATAGATATTTTGTATACTGTATAAAACTATCTTGTATATTAAAATATAATATTATTTTATAATTCTTATTTACAAATTAAGATCAAATTTATATTAATATTTATAATAATTCAATTGCTTATTTAATATACTCTTGTAGTTTGTTGGAAGAAAAGTCTTAAATTCTTTTATCAATATTCAAACTATTTTTTCTTTTATAAATTATAATAAATAGCCAAAATATCTTTTTTATTTTATTATATCATATATTCTTTTTATAATATCTATTATAATATTTTACAATATATATATATATATAATTCAAATATTTTTTATTTTACAAAACTATTTTTTATACAACTTATTATAATTTATTTAGAAAATAATTATATTTATTTATTTATTTTTAAAAAATTGATTCAGTCTTGTTTTATTTGTAATTATATAGTATTAATATATAGAAGCTATTCTAAAATACACTACTGTATATGAACAAAGGTATTGTATGCTCTAAATTTATTATTATATAAAAATGTATATAATAGCTTTATTTAATATTTTAATATATTATTATTTATATTTTGAAAAAATATATATCCAATCTTCATGTTTTTTCAATAATTAAACATTAAATTAAGTATAAATACATCTACCCTTCCAGTATTTTTAATTTTAAAAATGTATTACTTAATTGAAAGTCAATATAATGAAATTATATGTCTCTATAAAGATAAACAATCCTTATTAAAAATTTCAAAACTTTTTAAAATTTATAAAACAACTTTTTTCATACAATTAAAAATTATCTTAATAGAACAATCTTGCTATTTTTTCTAAAATTGAATATCCAAAACTATTGACTTCTAAAGACAAAACCATTTAAAAAAAATTTGTTAAAAAAAATAACAAGAAATATGCAGAACAAATTAGAACAAATTTATTGAAAAAATCAATATTGAAGTTTTTACTAAGACAATTAGAAGAAATTTGTATGAAATGAATATTTTTTCTCATATACCAGCTCAAAAACCACTTTTAAATAATCAACAAAGAGAAAATCATCTAAAATAATATATTGAAAGAAAAGATTGAATAGTTCAAAAATGGAAAATGATTATATAAAGTGATGAAAGTAGATTTACAATATTTAAAATGATGGTTCTGGTTATATTTGAAAAATTTCTGATACAAAATATAATATTAAAAATATGATTCCAACAATAAAATTTGGAGGTGAAGGAATAATGATATAGGGATGTTTTTTAGGTAAAGGATTAGGTTCATTAATAAAAGTAAGTGATAAATTAATAGATTAAATTATATTAAAATACTTGAGAAACATTTATTACCTTTAATTAATAGTAATTTTAATTATAAGAGATATTTGTTTCAAAATGATAATGCTTCAATTCATACTGTTAAAGATATTCAACAATAGATTTTAGAAAATAAAATTAGGATTTTACCTGATTGGTCAAGTCAATCTCTTGATTTAAATCCAATTGAACATTTGTGATCTAAATTGGAAAGAAAAATAAGAAATAGATCAGAAAATATAAAAAATTTAAAAAAATTAAAAACTGTATTACAAGAAGAATGGAGTAAAATTTCAAAAAATCAATTAATGAATTATATAGAAAGTATGTCATGAAGAATAAAAGCAGTTATTAAGAATAATAGGTAGCCAACAGAATATTGATTTATATATAAATATTTCATTATATAAAATATAACATATTAAAATTTTAAATAGAATTATTATATAAAATTTTATGTAACTAATAAATAAATGATGTATGATAATTTTGTTCAGATAGTGTATATTTACTGTTTTTTATCAAATAAAACTCAATAAAATCTTTCTATTATAAGGATAATTATCTTGCGAATTGTTATCATCTTTAAAGTGAGAAGCTAACTTGTCAAAGCTAAAAGAAATTTCAAATATGTAGAAATTGTTTATTATGTTTATAATTCATTAATATATAAACTTATTACTACAATTTTTATTAGTAATATATCCTATATATTCATATAAACATCTATTTTGATAAAATCACAACTCTTTCCCATAGATCCCTGACCACTATTTTCAAAGAAGCATTTCTCCAAAACTTTATGTTTTAGAGTAATAAAACTTCAAAACTCTCTCTAAAAACACTTGTCCCGCTTGGCAGTAGTCATATTACACCCTTCTTGTTTACTTTTCCTCTTTACAAACCCTTTACCTAAGAAGTTAATGGCAAAAAAGCTTTTCTAGAAAGAAGAAATCAGATGAAAAAGTACTCTCCCTCCCTTTCCTATAGAGGTCCCAGAGTCTAGGAAGAAGTTTGAGCCAATAACTCCATGTCAGCCAATAGGCAGACATCAATACCACAGGCAAAAACGGTTTCTCTCTCAGCATATAGCAGTTTTCTTGGTTTTTCTGGAGAATTTTGCCTACTCTAGCTTGACCCTGAATTTTATGTTACACCAGATTTTGGATAGATTGATTGGCAGAAGTTTGGGACTGGTTGCTTCACAGTTAGCAGAAATGTAAACAAGGATACACGTAACATGGGACATGAATATATTCCTAAGCTCCATAAGAACCTTAGGTCTATCATAAGTCACCGGCTAGTTGTGCAGGTGAATAAACATCACATGGATTATGATCTCCTCTCTCTTATCAACTCCGAAAATGTCAAGGCTATGGACTGAGTATTTTTTGAGGTAAAGTTGGGTGGATAAGTAGTTGTTAGGCATCCCTTCATTCCTTCCCCTACTTCATTTTCTTGTAAATATTTTCAACCTTCCCCCTCCGTTTTAATTTTATTTTTAACACTGACTAGTCGCAAGACTAGTACAAGAGATCTTCAACATCGGATGGTATTGGGACTCTTGTGCAAATCCTGACATATTAGGCTCTGCAGTGGGTGGCAACAAGCCGATCAGTGGATGCATTAGTGTACTCTAGATAGCGTCAATTCCTGAATATGAGGATGGGTGAGCAATGCACAGCTTGTGTATCTTATTTGTCCCCCACTTTATTTTTAAAAGAGAAATATTTACACTAGGTAATTATGTATTTTTCTTATCCTGGTTGGATTAGACATAGATTGAGTCATAAAAATAGATAGCTCCCTATTCTATTTCTTTCTAGTGATCTGTAAATCCTTAGACAGTATGGGAAAGTATTCATCCTAATTGTTGCTAAATATGATTTTTTATTAATAAAGTACTGGAGAAGGCATGGGATGAGCCAGTTTTAATAATAACAATAATAATATTCTATGGCTCCTATGTAAACATGAATTTAGCTTTCAACTTTATCATTATAACAATTAAATCTTCACATTTCAAAAAATTGATACAACAATCGAAGATATAGTTATCCCCTTTTTGTAATAAATATCATACTCAACTGATAAAATACAACTTAATATTTACTGAACAACTCTTAAATGCATAAAGAACACATTTTCTTCAATGGTACCAACTTATCAGATTTAAAAAGAAATTATTACCAGGCAAAATACTTAATTGGTTTCTAAAACTACAAAACCTTATAAGAAATCTGACTGTTACAATGCTATATCTCAATTCAAATATAGTCAATATCTTTCTACAAAGTACCCCAGTGACAAACACAACTATTACAAAATTTTACTGGATAGCTATCATAAAAAATGATCAAATATTTATTGAAAAGAAACAAAGAAACAATCCAGACAAAACAATATTATATCAACATTATACTTCATAAAATAATGAATTATCTTTGTTCAGATATCTAGGATGCAATATAAATAAATACACAATATACTCAAGTACATGTTTTTTCTTTATTAAATCACAAAACATAATTATAATTCCAATAAACTTCAGCATCATATCCATTTTACATTCTAAAAGTCCCTTATAAATATTCATTAAAAGAACACAAATGTCTCACAACTCAATACAAACAGTACTTAATTATCTAATCATCTCACCTTCTAAAGAATTAAAGTATAGTTTCTACATAATTATATAAAACAATTATATCATACAAAATTAAATTCAATAACATTTTAAAGAAGAATTAAGCATACCAAACAAACTGACACATATTGTCATTTTTATAACTGATAACTCTTTCCAGATCTATACAAATGGATACAAATCAAATTGATATAACAAATCACATATGAGTATAGGATAAATTATTATTATATCTATGAAACAGGAGTTTCAATTACAAGTTCAAGTAAACAAATACCCATCATCTACCAGGGTAGAGATCATGGAAATTTATATAACATTAATAACAATACCCTTCCAATCTTCTATAAACCTTTGTACTAATAGTAAAGTAGCAATATTATACATTAATCAATTTCTTAAGTAAAAATTTAATCAAGTAATTTCTAAATACAAAAACTATAAACTACTATTAGACATTCAAGACATATGCAAAACCAATATTATCAACATTTACTTACACAAAGTTTCAATATATATAGGAATTAAATACAATAAAATAATAAATCAATTGATCAAAATCGACTTCTTTGACAATGGCATATCTGCTAGAACTCTACAAATTGAAATATCAGCATCTAATATCTCAAGTATTATAATAATTCTAGCATAGAATAAAAATGTAATAAACATTCTAGCCAAAACAATATATCAAAAACTTTAATATGCTAAAAGATTAGCACAATAGAAAGTTTTAAATAGGACCCTTATAGATTTCATAGTCCAATACAAATATATAAATTGAATAACAACTTTCAACAATTTATATCTCTCTAAAATAAGTAATAATAATACATCCATAAAAGATCAACAAATTAGAAAGTTTTCAATCAACTTGTTTAATAATAAACTATCTATCAAAACCAAACTATATACAAAAAAACCCACACTCTATATAGACAACCTTTGCTCTTGATATAATCAAATAGAAGATAACTATCACCATTTTCTTTACAATACTATATTACAAGATCTCATTATACAAGTAAACAAAATTGCAATTAATACATATAAAGAACACATTCATTCAACAATTAAAAACAACTATATATAAATAATCAAATAACAAATGTCCTTAAAAGCATTATCAGAATTCAAACTTTTTATTAAAGAAGTAATTTTTAAGTCTCTAATATCAGTCATATACAAAATTATAATAGATTCTTCTAGTGTATAGAAA